TAGAAGGTGAGTTTCGTGACTAATTAAACATGGGATAACTGCCGCGTCATTTCAGACAGACAGGCTCTCTGATCACACCTTCTGGAGTAGTGATGTACTGATGTTTTAGCGAATTATATAGGACATTCTATGACAGCTATTGTGTGTGCTAGTACTTAGATAACAACAGGAAGTCTCAAGGTATTAATACAATATAGCCAAAGAAATCACTAGTGTCAGCATGTATGTTTTTACGCATCACAAATGTTCATACTCATACAGATAAAAACAACACAAGTACAATGGTAATTCAATCATATAAGCAGATGATTACACTGATCACGTAAGTCATCAGTAGACACTCACCGACAGTTGCAGAAGGTGTACTTGCTGTTGCTGCTGTTGTCGGTGTGTCCGAAATCCTATGAAGGTGCTTGGGTGGTTGATGCATCCACTTATTTTACGGTGAAAGTTATATGTCTGATCTATTTGAGCAGAACAACTTATTTCTGTAACAATCCCTCCGTCCGAGTTACATGTTTAGCTTAGAGAAGGGATGCTTCTTTCAATATGGCTTCACAGCAGTTTTCATTTGCTCGAACCAGCAGTTCTGAAGAGGTAGTCGAAATCCTATTTTGCCACAGGATACATTGGATACATCAGACATTAGGCTTTCAGGCTAGTTTGGTTTATGAAATGAACTTTATCTTTTAAAGGAAAAACTGGAGTTAATTAAATTGAAATAATAACGTGTTTTCCGGGAAAGCGAAGCAGAATTCAAATCACGACCGGCATCTCATTTTATTTGTAAATTGATTGATAAATTGATGGTTATCATATCAGGAGACACGCGAAAAGGTAAACTTGATTTACGAACTAATTCATACCAGCAACACGTTCTTGGTTATCATAGACTATTAGTGTTTCTGCAGCTGTTCCTGGCAATGCCCTGTTGTCATATCTACGTTCATGTTTGTCCTGAGTTGTCGCCCGTCCCCTGCGATGTCGAGTACCCAACGTCTTATCCGCTCTTCGACCAATGTTTTTTTGTTTTTTTTCAAACAATTCTTATTCCATTCCAATAGTATATAGAAAATATATTAAGCATAACAGCATGTGATATTATTTAAATTGTACATGGTGGGAGGCATTATTTTTAAACTGTGGATGTTTGGGTATAAACAAGTACATAATGTATTCAGAATTGTAATTACGTTATATTTTATGAGTGCTTCAGTCGATCAGCGGTGTCAGGAACTTGACTTGAAAACATAACAACATAATCAAAATTGATAAAATTTGCTATGGTTACAAAATTAGTTGTTGTAAATACATTAATTAACAATGGGTAGGATCTAAATGTTTACCAAATAATTCCATTTTGAGACAATAAATATTGAATGTTATTGTTATAAGCAATATATTTTTCTGTTTTACAAATGTCCGTGACAACCTCTGAAAAGGTCCCAAATTGTACGAGTAAGTCCCCATGGTCCCTAGTGTGGTGATCTGCCTTCAGTCGTTGGCGATCAATACCCCGTTTTTATCATATATTGTGTATCGTTACATATTTTTATAGTTCCATGCTAGTTCTATATTCATATCTGTGATAGTCTAGTTTGTTTTACTGTCCTTTGTTGACAGGTTGTTATATTGTCAAAATGTCAATATTATTTATGTACAAATCCATCTCGTCACTATATGGCTGAAATATTGCTGATGTGACGTTAAATCTTAACTCACTCACTCACTCACTCAATTTGTACGAAGACACAAAAGGCACGAAGACATTCACAATATACATGTAAAAGATCTTTGCTATTACAGTTGCAAAAGGAACATACATCATTATCAATCAATTTCATCTTAAGTTATTCTTTTTTGTGTAAATAACTTTGAATATGAATTTATACTGGAACTCTAACAATTTCACATCTTTAATCGATTTTCTAAATTGGGTAAATACTTTATTCCATTGTATTTTTCTTGATGATATATTTTCCGATTTCTCACGATTTTTATCAAATTTGCTTGAACTGAATGAATATATCCTAAAATCCGAGATCCTTTTGTTCTTAAAAGTACATTCAAATAAATCCTGTTGATACCTTTGTTGTATAAAATATAATCTTTATCTTTAATTATATCTTTCCATTGTCTCGGTAGGTTATTTAAAAGATTGTGATAATCTAGCATTGTTCTTTTAAAGGTAAATCTTCTGTTTAGTTCTTCAAGCGAAAGAAAACCATTGTTATGACACATATCACTTATAAATTGAATTCCTTGATTAAACCAATTTTACATTTTGCATGATTTTTCATATTGATGATTCAACCATAATGGTTCTATATTTGTTCTATAGTTACACTATCCCTATCTTTCCAGAAAGGATTATCTTGACTTGTGTAGTTTGTTATATTAGCCCCAAGCAAAAAGACACCTTGACTTGGCAAGTTGTGAATTTGTCTGTTACTCTGTTCTACCAAACGTCACTTGTACATTCTTCCCTGTGATCCTAACAACACAGCGGCTGTTCACACCGACACTGCATGGGAAGCCCGGGGAATGGAGGTACACCGATCCCTCTACTCTTGGTTTGACAGCACCTGAACCACTCATATTCATACTACTTGACATACAATGCATTTAACAAGTAGAACAACTCATACTGTATGTTGGGACTGAAGTTGGCGACTTATGGTATCAAGATGGGTCATATCAAGCAAATTGGTCGCACGCATGCTTGATTTTGTACTGGTGCCTGGTTGATCAGAGCTGAAATGAAGGGAACTTAAAGCTCAAGTTCAAGAAGCAACACTCATGAATCACTGTAAATGTTATGACATTATTATCAGGGTAGTAATTTTTTCCTAATCTTACTTGTAACACCAAGATCACGATCACGGTGAAAGTAGGCATTCTACGAACGTCTAAGCCAAATACATCAGAATATTTAGCTGTTCATGATTATAAATTTAGTCGTTTGCAGTATCCTTTGTGTGGTATTACAAAACATATACCCTAACTGGTGGAAATGGTGGTGAAAGATGTGATGAAAGCAGTCCAATATTCGTACGTTCTGTTAGGTCATGAAGTACAGACATGAGTTGGTCCAATTAAACTCTAGCTAGGTTATGAAAGATGGTACTACTACACGTAGAAACTCGACATGTCAAGACAAATATTGTAACGGCCAATATTTCGTTTCACAAGACGAAATATATTTATGAGGAAGCATGTTAGACTTACCACAATGTCTATATGCTAGTAGTAGTAGCAGTAGTAGTAGTAGTAGTTGTAGCAGTAGAGGTAGTAGCAGTGGTAGTAGTTGCAGTAATTATAATGATAATGATGATGATGATGATGATGATGATGATGATGAATCATTTTTCATCTGAAACGTGGCAAGGTAGAAGAGGGAGGATCAGTCAGTGTACTTGGGGGAGGAGTTATTGACTATCTCGTGGAAGGTCAGGACTATACGTATTTGGGAATGGAGATTTGGGAAAACTTGGGGCAGAGTACAAATGTAGACTTAAGAAAATCTGGAGTTCAGAGCTGAACGCTCGCAATAAAGTCAAAGCCACTAATTCTTATACTGTGCCCGTCCTTTCGTATTCATTTGGTATTGTTGATTGGACGAAACAAGAATTTCAGGATATTGACACCCTCACACGAAGAATAGTGACAGACAATAGATCCCAACACTCTCGTCCTTCCCTCAATCGCTTATATTTACCAATTATAATGAGAAGGCGTGGTTTGATTAACGTGGAGGCTCTTCATGATAGAATTGTATTGTGCACTTTTGCACATGTTTATTTGTCTGATGATCCTCTTGTGAAGTATGTCAAGACTCATCATGAAAACAAAGCATTCCTCAGATTTTTTTAAACGAGCCAAGTATGTGGGACATGATCTCAATGTAAGTGTCGATTTTGTTGATGGTTCTGTACTGCTGGACGGAACATAAATGAATGTCAACCAAGCAAAGTGCCATATCAAATCGGCCCAGACTCAGTTTTTCAAGCAAAGGCTATCTGCACGACCACTGCATCGAGTTTATGTGCATTGGCCTGAGAAGATCAGCAACCCTGAGGAGTCCTTCGCTTGGATGAAAAATGCTAGCCTAAAAAGTGAAACAGAACGCTCACCGTTTGGCATGGTTGACTATGATTCCACTGAGGTTCACAATAAACACTCACAGTGTGATCGGTATTCAATGTATAATGCCAAGTGCGAATTAATAACCTAATTATTGATTCAGGTTCACAACACGAAATTGGACGTTTTCAAACGAACGGTATCCTGAATCCTGAATTGTCTTAAAACTATGCGCTCAGAGTTTGGAGATGTGATATATACTCGTATAATGACATACTCTACTGCCTAGAAGTTCATTCCCCTTGCACGCATGGGCAACGCGTTACGCAACCCGTGTGCACCCCGTTGGCCACTCGTGTGGAACCAGTCCGCCACACGTGTGATACCCGTGTGCAACGCGTTGAGCACCCGTGTCACATGCGTGTTACACGCTTCTCAACGCATGTTAGAGGAAGGAACTTTTAGGCAGTAGTGTATCTAATCTCACTGTATCACCGATATTTATATCATGCCATACTGACTGTTAAAGTGTGTAACCTTCGACAAACCTGCACAGTCTGCACGAAATGAATCCCTCAAGTTAAAAGGCAAAACGTTGGATTTGTACTGAGGAGTAGGATGACTATTTGATAGCGATATCGATTTAATATACATTGATGTAAAACTCTGTGTGTGTGTGTGTGTGGGGGGGGGGGGGGGGGGGGGGGGGTGGGGGGGTGGGTGGGGGTGGGTGGGTGGGTGGGTGGGTGGGTGCGTGCATGCGTGCGTGCGTGCGAGTCGATGTCCGATATACATATAAACGCATAATTCATAAAAGTAAATATTACGAAACTTCTTAAACTTGCAATGTCACCCCTTAAACTGAGATGTTTGTCAGGTGGAACCGTGTATATGCATTGAACACACTGATATACATTTGCTGTTATCTCTCACCTTGTCCAGGATTACGAACAAACTCCAACAATAACCGTACTATACAACGTCATTTCGGGACTTTCAAGGTGCATGTTATGCAATCCATACGAATGGAAGGTCTCCGCTATCCCTGCAAGGTAACTGTCTGCACTATGCACAGTCAGGCTGACATGTCGTGTTTGCACAATAACTAGGACACATGTCCTGTTGGGATTCTTTCGCTCTTTTACTCGTCATCAACATGGAGATGTTGGGGCAAGTGGACGTCCCGTTGTATCTTCTGGCCAAGACGGGGGTTGAGCTCACCTTCAAATGTATATACATTATATTGCATTTATAACGCTTTGTGAACAAACTTTTTTATAAGCCTCAAACAAAGTTCACTGTTTTGTAAAAACAATCAACTTTAGAAGAGGCTTATAGGTTCGTGCAAGTTCTGTAGGGCGCGGCAGTGCAGCCTTCTGGTAATAGTAACTTGGCTCAACGTGGATCACCCGCCTTTTATAAGAGTATATCATTTTTTAACACGGGGTGGCAATTTGATGCGGGAAAACGCCCAAAGAGACACAAGACCTAGAAACAAAATATGGGGCGAGAACAAATGCTCGCTAGTGAGTAAAAAATACTTCAATCCTTGAATCCCGTTTTGATCATCACGGATATATTTCCAGGATACACGATACTTACTTTAAATATATCATAATACACCGTGTATGGTGTGTCAATAGTGGGTGCGGTGCGTGTCTGTGTGTATGATGTGTGCCTGGGTGTGTGTGTGGTGTGTTTATCTCTGTGTTTGTCTGTCTGTCTCTGTGTGTGATGTGTCATGTATGTCTGGCTGTGTGTATAATGTGTGTGTCATTTGGAGTAATTTGAGCCTGTCGGAGCGTGATGTGTGTCTGTAGGGGTGTCTGTGTCTGTCTGTCTGCATATGTGGTGCGTATATCTGGGTCGATATGTATGTGTCTGTGTGTGTCATTAGGGGGTGTAGTGTGTGGCGTGTTGTGTGTGTATAATAAAGGGGGAGATGTGCGGATGCCTGGCTGGCTGGCCATTAGTGTAATCATCATTACAAGGACTGTTGTAGCTTTAAAGAGGGTCATTTAGTATTACATGTGGGAGCCTATTATTTCAGCATACAGTATGTACATATTAAATATATTAATCAAATCCAAACTTTGCTGATATTACGTGAAATATTACAAGAAATGTCTGCATACTCTCTGTACACGACAATACAATGTTGAAAAGAATGACATAAATGTTCACTAACAGATCTATCGACGGAAGAGATAGTTGCTCAGTGCATACTGTTCTTTATTGCTGATTACGACACAACCGAGTCAACCCTTTCCTACATAGCCTACAACCTGGCCAAGAACCCGGATGTACAGGAGAAGGCGTACAATGGAATCAAAGAAATATTTGGAAATGTCAGCATTACACTAATTGTTGAAGTTGCCTTGGATTAGAAATGGAACGAACTTCTCGGTCTGTTGCTGTTTTCATTGCCGTTCTTGACGATACAGCTCGTGGTTTGTGGGAAGCATTGTCCCTATGTTATCAGAGTAATCATTAAATGTTTGACTGAGGTACATCATAGAAGTGTAACTAGTAACATCTTATTGTGGTTCTAACTTATAGGAGCTGATTCACAGTCCCTATACCCTTCTACAATGAACACCACTACTCTCCTCTGCAAGAGGCGACTCAACCGATATAAGCACCAATTTCCTCAACGACGCATTAACATTCTTGATTTTTTTTTGTCTCCAGGAGGAACCGAACTACGACAACATTGGGAAACTGAAGTATCTGGACAACGTCATCGTTGACACGCTTCGACTCTACCCACCGGGTTTTGTGTAAGTTAACAGGTTTGACTATGGGGATATCAAGGCGAAATATCATAAGCCAGTATTATACTCCCCGTGTATGGCATGATGGGACTAACATGTAGAGCGACTAGTTGGAATAGGGGATCCTGGGGTAGAAAAAGTCCCCGGCAAGCTACGATGGTCGTAAGAGGTGACCAAATAGATCAGGAGCTCAGGTTTGGTGACTTGGTGCATTGCGTGTCATCGTACCCCTACTGCGTGGTTCATTGCACACAATATCACACTCTTGATTGTCAAGACTTGATTATTTACAGCCCGCTGTCATATAGCTGGAATATTGATTGGCGATAAACAACACAAATCAATGATACAATGCTTGAGCTGGATGGCATTACAAATGTATTATTATTGAATGTAAAGCACAATTGACATATACTTGAATACGCCCGAGCTGTAGATACACCCAAGACCAGTATTTAGATTTAGTACGCCTATTTCTAAGGCCGGGGAAAAGAAGCTCTCCCTTTTCGCGAACACCTGGTGTCATCACTGACTTTCACCGCTGTGTGTCTTTTATGTGTAATGGAAACAGTTAAGTCGTGTAAACGAGACTGGTTAATCTCTGCCCTTGACGTATATTTCCAGAAAAATAATATTGGGTGAGTGTTACGTCTCAATGATACCAGGCTCTCGTCTTCTAATTTTACACCAATATAGTTGAATGGTTGTCCTTTGCCTGTGGTGTTGTCATTGTTTGGCGCCAAAGGGTTAAAAAGTCAAATATGCACGGATTATGTGTTATAGCTTCCAACTGTAATACTATAAAACAAATCTTGAACCGATTGCATGATCAAATTATTATGATTGGTAAGCAGCTTGTAGAGTGCCACTACATATTAAACTTCATTCCAGAACAACAGTTGAAGAACAGATTACAACATCACGTCTAGCTTTCCCAAACTATCTCTCTATTGCAGGCTCAACCGAGTTGTTTCTGAGACAATTCAAATCAAGGGCTTAACTCTCTCTAAGGGTCAATCTATCTTTATTCCCGTGATGGCAATACACAGAGACCCTCAGCTCGACGAGGATCCTGATTCCTTCAGGCCAGAAAGGTATGGGGCTGACCTCTTGATATTCAACTATTTTGTAGTTATTTACAAAAACTGTTTCTGAAAATACGGGTAGAAAATACCACCCAATTCCAAAATATTAGACGGAGGATGTTCAATCAACTTCCCATCTATTTTGGGATAAAGGGTGGACCAGTCGTCTAAGCGCGGTAGTTCGCTGTGCTTGCCAGAAAACTATGATCGTGGGTTCGAATCCCGATTCGTCCAGATTATGGTTCTTGGTTTGTATGTCCGGAGAGCAGAAGGTCCAGGGTACGATCCCGTGCCGCATCATACCAAAAGACGTTAAAAGATGGTACTTGTTGTTACCCTGTCTTGCGCTCGGCATTAAGGGGCTGGTCGGCTCGGAGTCAGTAAACTGTGTCAAAGTGGGGTATTCATGTTAACCTGCGGCATGGTATCTCAGTGAGCTACCACTATAAATCGGCCTCAGTCCGGACTATTACTAGCAGACACACACACACACACACGCATGCACGCACACACGCATGCACGCACGCACGCGACGTTAAACCCAATTTGATCTCACCTCCCACATCAAGCTGACACGTCCTGATGTAACTGGAATACTGTTCAAAGCGGCCTGAATCTCACTCACACACTACATTCCGTTTGATGTGACAGTAACACACACAGACATCCGCACAAGAACGTTACATTAACGTTCATGTGTTCGAAAGGTTGACTTGTACATAACAGATTGTAATATGATATTTGAGTGATGTCAAGAAATTGTCTTTCAGGCATGAAGAACAAGCCAAAACTATTTCCTACCAAGCATTCGGATTTGGCCCAAGGATCTGTATTGGGATGCGCCAGCTCTGGTTGAGGTTAAAGTAGCCTTGGCTAACGTTCTGAGGACTGTGAAGTTTGAATGCTTACTCGACACGGACAAGGATTCTTTCATAAACATTTGTCACCACCATGTCTATCTTCCTCTTCCAATAAGGGGTCCACTACTTAAGAGGTGGTTCTGGATATTCAGAAACATATGACTAGATCCTCCTTTTCAAGATATATATGTATGGCGTGATGAAGATACAGCAAAAATATTTACAAACAACTAACCGATGTAGGAAACAAAATTGACTTCACACAAATGAAACAGAAATGAAACACATCACTCCACTTGGTCTGGGTTATCATAGTTCAGGAATAACATACAGCGTCAGGGTTATCATACAACATCCATGTTATCGTACAAACGTATGACAACTTCAGTTCGACATAACATTTAACATGGGCCAGTTCGCCATGCAGACCACACCTTCGAGAGAATGCAATTCTATTTTCGTTTTTGACAACATCTATTTTAAATTTTGGTTACACTGTGTCAAATGAATAACAAGAAAGGAGAACAAAATACCAGCACTGATCATTGTTGGTGGAGAACAGTCACCTGTATGATGGAATGAGGATAGCTTGTTTCTGAAGGTAGTTCACCCTTCCTGCTCCTGATTAGGTAGCAGCGCACACTCTCATTCATTTCACAATGGCATATGTCGTGGTTTGTTCACAGGATGTTTTGACGTTTGCTCGGAATCCAACCATTCTTGAAACCAAAGAGGATATCATGTTGAAAGTGTCTCCAAGATGTTAAAGGCCTCGGAGAAGTACCAACAGATCACAGAATATGTCGAAATATACTTACACGATACTTACATATCAATACCATAAAAAAACAATCACTAACTTTTGGTTTGCCACTTCTAATTATATATCACTTGGAAGTACGTATCTTTGCATGCATGTGAATTCCTCAGCATGTTGTTTAAAATTGTGTTGGAAATGAAAAGCAGTGCCATTTTATTATGACAGTAATCTGTAGGAAGCGATGTCTTGGTATCACAATGTATATATGAGTGAGTGAGTTGGGTTTAACGCTGCTTTTAAAGGAATTACAGTTATAATGTAGCGTGTCAGCTAAATGAGGGAGGAAAGCCCAAAGTGTTGCAGGTCTCATAATCAGACGATTACCACTTTGGTGAAACCCATGAGTATGGGTATGGTGCTGACAAACCTAGAAACACAATCGGGGCGAACCGGGAATCGAATCCACAATCATAGGTTTCTTGCATGCCGAAAGAAAGCAACTCTGCACAGCGAATTGAGGTACCTTAGGCGACTTGGCAACCCGTGACCCCAGAATGAGTCAACGACAACTTCATGTGTACACATGCCAGATCCTTTTCTGGTTCCAAGAATATTTTGATGCCCTGGGATAACTTGTGAATAACATTTGTCCAAAACTGTAAAGAATATTTTACGTCTTTCACCAATAGAGTATCAATATAGTTGTCAACATTCGTCATGTAGAGTATCAATACAGTTGTCAATATTCGTTTTAGTCATAGGAAATTGTTTCAAATCAATTCATTTTTCTTTGTTCATTTGCTTTGAGTTCTTTTTAAATACTATATATTTGATAAATATGTATATGTCTGTAATAGAATGCGCTGAATAAACTTAACAACGCATTACTTTTGTGTTCATGATCCAAACAAATGATGTATAAATAAAATAACATAGTTGCAAGCTAGCAACCAATGACAGAGACTGGGTAGTTCAAGTGCCGATAGTCTTCTAGACAATGGTGGTTCACTTAAAATGGAATGAAAATTACGAATGTAAGTTTGACAGCAAAATATAAGTCAATTAATTGTTATTTCTGTTGGGAACATGTCACAAATTCTTTGGTAATATGATTACTTTGCATCAAAAAGGGAGGGTGAACTGCACCCATGAACCAATGAATGTCATCATCATTTGCATATTGCTTGACAGACATTTCTTCCTTCAAGTTACTCGTCGATATATGGCTGAAATAATGCCCATGCGACGTTAAAGTTTAACTCAGTCCTTCCAGCTTGGGAAGAGGTGGAAATCTGACGGTACCAAATCTAGTGAATAAGGAGAACGTTCATTCAGTTCAAAGCTACAGTCATGCATTGCAGCTCTGGTGAACAGACTTGTGAACATGTGCATTGTCCTGGTGGAACAACACACCTTCAGTGATGTTTCCTTCTTTCAACTTTGGTCACCTTGCTATCAATTTGCCAACTGATGGAACAGACTTTGCCTTCTTCGGGGGAGGGGTCTGAATACCTTGACTATTCTGTTGTCTTTGGCTGATAGTAGTGAGCCCAAGAACTCATACATGGTTAGAAATCGCTTTACAAAATCGAATGAGCCTGCTTTAAAACAATATATATTCTCATGAGAGATAATGAACCCAGATCTTTTCTCTTAGGAGTAAGAACCCTAACAACCGAGTGTGTTGAAACCGTTTTTCAGTATTTCTCAGAATGTTCTGAACTCTCTCATGAAAGATGCTAACTGTAATGGCTGTGTGACGTGCGGTGAGCAGCCGATCTACCATGATTGTATCATGTATTTTATCAACATTTTCCTCTGTGGTGATAGTTGAAGGGCTTCCTGATGTTGGATCATCTTTGAGGCTCTCTCTTCACTCTTTAACTCTGCTGACTACCTCTTAAGAGTGTCAATGAAAGGAGCATCGTCCGTAAAGGTAACGCTATACCCGGAGTGGTGGCTTTAAGAGTTGTCCCTTTCAGTTGGAGATACTTGATGATAGCGTGTCCAGAGAATGCCCAATCAATTCGATCCTCCATCCTTCGTGTTTGTTGCCTAGTGAGTGAGCCATTATTATTCTTCAGACTCGAAGATAAAGCATTGTTGGCCACAAAATGACATTGTTTAGGCTCATTTGTTTTATTGTAGTCTACAATCCAAATATTTTATAGGAGTACAGCATATGGTTTCAGCCAAAATCATTATCTTCAGCCCGACGCAAAAATCTGCACGTCATGGTGCACTAGGGGTAAACAATGAGTATACACGTACGGTCACAACCTGGTCCCAGATCCTTTTGCATGATCCCCTGGATTTAGCAGTGAGCCACACTTACCAGAGATTTATCTTGCATTTGGACACAGTGCATGCGACACATATCACAATTGAAAGTTAAAGAAAAGTGCAGAATAATGTAACATTAAATGACATATGTTACTTTATTTCAGTGGGTTCGTGCCTGGAACCTTCGTACAAGTTGCCTATAGAGTGAGCCACTTGGCTGCGATAAACCAGAAGCTTTTAAAAATTTAACACTCCGGGTGGAGAATGATTACCTCTCCCTCGTGTATCTCAACCAAAACCTTGCAGATCTTTTCAGCCACCTCTTATCTGCGTAAGCAACCTAGTTTCAGACCTTTGCATGACCCTGTGATTAAGCAGTCAGACACACTTATATTCAAAGTAGGACACGTTTTGGAGCAAACACTGGATAGTCGGTGGCCTTCTTTACGTTATGCGCTAGAAGGGATGTGTTGTGGTATTTAAAAAACAACTCACAGGATTTTACACAGAGATATTGGGGCTTGGGGACGTTGTTAATTAAATGTTTTTGGCCCTGTTGGCTATCCCCACATCGCCCATATCCAAATGATATCGCAACAGTCTGATAGGATATTGCTTGAGAGCTACAAACGACAAAGCTATAACACAAAATGACGACGCGATAATTAAAACTACACGATACGACGATACGACGAGACCATGACACGACATAGGAACAGAACAACATAACATTGCGATGACATAACATGATATGTCAACATGGCAAATAGATGATCATCCAATATGGTCACGCGATACAACAATATTTCGATCTAACAGTATGGCAATAGAATGATATCGCGATATGGTGGAGCAGAGACCATATAATATGGTCTCTGGGTGAAGTAACAATATCACAATAAAGTGATATCTCATTGATAGAAAACTAAAACCACATGATAAACGTATCATTGCACAAGTATGTTCAGTATTACAAATAGAAAAATGGGCTGGTTATCAGTCATCATTGTATGTTAGCACCTGTTAAACTGTGAAGACATGCCACGACTAGCTGAAGCACGACGGAACAGCGTTGTCTGTTGATTTGAAGCAAGAAAATTGCAGTTAGTTGCAGCCAGGGTATAGGCATGTGTCCCATAGCACCATTTCTAACCTTTTTGGTATCACCAAAGGCGACCCAGGTCAAGCCGACGCCGAGTTACCAACATCTGCCGAAGACTGTTTGTGCAGCTACGCCACTTGCAATTCCAGGATTGCGAAGGATATCTGACCAGACAGTGCGGACCCCGCATGTCTCAAAGCTAGACGGGCTGTCAGAGGTGTTGTTTCGCGTCTCACGGGGACCAGCATCTAGTTTCAGATGTGTAAATATTTCCGACTATAATACAATATAATTAAAAAAATCCCAGAACCTGCGGTAATCTAGACTCGCCAGCTATAACAGATTTGCATGGGCTGCATTGGATATTAAATTTGTGTCAGGGCCTGTATAACAGAATACCAGATACCAGTAGCGAATTTAAGCTACACTGAACTGATGAAAGAGCCATGGACTCACGCTTTGAAAATATGCAATTGGGATAGAAACAGGCAACTACATATAAACTGCAAAAGAGCCCCGGTGAGATGGGCGATTCAAAACCTGGGAAATATCTAGACTTCCTTTATTTAGGGCTATATCATTACAGTAAGGGAGAACGGTTCAAGGAATGGTTCAGGTACCATGAGACGGACAAGCAGAGCCGGTGTGTACTGACCTCGGGATATCGACAGAATTGGCGTTGGAATCGTGGTTATGTTAGCGAATTTTACACCTTTTTTAAGAGTATATAATTTTGATCACGGAGTGGTAATTTGATGCGGGAAAACGCCCAAAGAGGCACAAGTCGTTGAGCTTCGTCACTTTGACAACAGACATAGAATAACACTATGGGGGGCGAGAACAAATGCTCGCAAGTGAGCAAACATTCTTGAATTTGAATCCCGTTTTGATTATCATGGAAATAGTTCCAGGGTGCACGATACTTGCTCTAAATATATCATGTTTTAAGTAATGTAAAGCAGACATCCCAAACCAAAGCGTAATTACTGTACATGAATAGATATCTGAAATTTAATTCAGTTGATTAATGTACACCTGCATTTTATTTCAATACATAATTGTACACCTGCAATCTATTTCAGTACCTTAATGTACACCTGCAATCTATTTCAGTACATCAATGTACACCTGCAATCTATTTAAATACATTAATGTACACCTGCAATTTGTTCAGTACATACATATATATCTCATATATCCGTAATACCCCACTTCGAAGGAAGAAGACGTCTTTTCCGAGTCTTGAACGTCACGTGACACAGTCACAAGTTAAACGCAGCTCAATCAAACAGCCGTTTCCTATAAATGTCAGCAATATTAATGTCAGATTAACACATGTTTGTCAGAAAAATTTGTTACAGCAGTATCATTCGGGGTACATGTGATTTTATGCACCCCTCGCTAGCTACATATCACTCGCCTCCGTCTCGTGGTATAAAACCAAACGCGGGACACATATTATTCTCACGTACCTCTCGTGATATTGCTACAACTTGAAATGCGAGGGAAATCTATGTATTGAGATGTGCTTAGATGTTTTGTATCTCACGGTTGAATGTCCAAGAATAGCAAACACCTTATGTGAGTGAGAGCCGTGCTTGATAAACGATGCAGTATACAATATGGTTTGATACAAGAAACTTTGTAGGAGTTAGTAATTGTAAGGTACAAACTATTTGATAACATCCACACATTCATTGTGGGTACATATTTACACTAATATAAATGAGATGTTATTATGTTGTTTCAAGTACCAGTAAGACCTAAGTCAAGACATTTAATGCAAGGTTTTATGACGATAACATTTAGTGACTCTCGGGCTGTGGGCAGTCTAGTAGTTGTGGTCGATGAGGGTCTTCAGGGTCAAGTCATTGCTTTAAGTGCAAGGCTATCCCGACGCCCGTATCAACGAACCCCTTTCCATACTCATACAACATCTCTCAGTCGGTTGTACGAAAGGGATATGAAAACATGAAATAATACACAAAAGTAAATATTGCACAAGTTCTTAAACTTACAATGTCACTCCATAGATACATGTTTGTCATTTGTAAAGATACGTGCATATGCATTGATTAACCAGGATCACGAACAAACCTAAAAACTCCCCCTATAACCTCATTTCGGGGCCATCGAGGCACATGCAGTGCAATCGTACAAAAGAAAGGTCGCCGCTAGCGGGGCAAGATAACTTTCTGCACTTTTAGATCACGTGGCTCGTTTGCACAATAAATAACACACGTCCCTGGCTGCATTGGGAGCATTTGACAACACCAACATGGAGATCTTGGGGCTAGTGGACGTCCCGTTATATTACCTTCTGGCCTTGGCGGCGTTTGTGCTCACATACATGTAAGTGGACAGTTGATGTGTATATACATACTATTGCAATCATAACACTTACCATCAAGTTTCAATGATATCCTAAAACAAAATGCAATGGTGTGTAACTAAAACTTAATTTTAGAAGAGTCCTATAGTTGACCTAGAGAAACGTACATGCGGGTTCTGTAGGGCGCGGCAGAACGTTTTCACCTGGTCTCCACGTTGATTCCCCACGAATCAAGGTGTGAAGCTTATTCCTAATGTTCTCCTGAAATATCCTGTTGGCCAAGCGTCGTGTTTGTTGTTTATCTAAGCACTATGCTGCAGGACGGGGGCCTATAAATATGAGGCTGGAATGATCGTTTAAAGTGGCATAAAACTCTGTTCATGGATAACGTTCTAACAACTAACAAATTCTGTGAAACTTCGTTTACTCGATCTCCTTGAACTCGATGCATCATTTAAGTCAATTGTTTTAAAATAGCGACTCCCCTGGTCTCAAACAATGGATATCTGCTTCAACCATGTGCTAATTGTCACATTATGTTCGACAGATATGGAACATGGAACCACAATTACTTCAAGAAACGGGACATTCCGGGGCCAGCACCATACCCTTTTGTTGGGAACAGCTTTGATGTTGTAGGTTCTATCATACTCATATAAATCACATATCTCGGAACGAATCTACGAGTCCCAGTTGTTATACCAGAGAGGGTAGACTTCTATTCAGGCTTCAAAATAGTGTTGCCATCTTTCCCTTTATGTCAAACAATACACCAGCAGCTCCAGCCATTGGTGTCTATATTGTTAAGTGCAGTTCAGTATGCACTTTGTACAAAGAGCCTTGTTCAGCGCTGTCTTAAAAGACAAATATTTGGAGGACATTTCCAAATTTGACGTATCAGTAACCCAAATAATGTATAATGTAATCCCCTATTTTTGACTTGTACCATATATTCCCGTTTTTTTTCTTACATCGATGATCTTAACCTTGATGTGGTGGATGAGGTAAATGATGCTATTTGTGTGACGGAAATTAATTATAATGTGAAGATAGTGACAAAATTAAATATTGCAGCAGATATATTCTCTTTTTTTTACAGGGTTTCCAAAATGATTTATACGACTGGTGCCAGAAATATGGAAGCGTATATGGGTATGTTCAAGAATATGTATATCACCAACTTGCAACACAAGTGGGTGGCACGGGTGGCCCAGTCGTCTAAGGCGCCGCGATTCGCTGTCCCTTGGGCACGTCAGAAACCTATGATTGTGGGTTCGAATCCCGGATTCACCGAAGTGGTAAACGTCTGAGACCTGCATCACTTTGGGCTTTCCTCCCACATTAAGCTGACACGTCGCGATATGACTGTAATACTGTTAAAAGCGGCGTTAAACCCAACTCACTCACTCACTGCAACAGAACTACTAGTTACCAATACTTTGTGTGTTTGTTTGTTTACACCACCCTCAACAATATTCCCGCTGTGTGAAGGTGGTCTGTAAATGATCGATTTAAATATATTTGTTATTAATATCTGACTTTCTCTCGTCACGAAATGGCTGTAATATTGCCGATTTGACATTGTAACTCACTGACTAAAGAATCGAGCCTGGAAAGCCAGCGACAGGCATCATGAGCATCGATTTATGCAATTGGAAAACGATGACATGCATTAACCGAATCAACGAACCTGACCACCCGTCCCCGTGAGTTGCCTTCTGCGACAAGCATGGGTTGACTGCTGGAGTTCTATTACTGCATGAGACACCTTCTTTTCACACCTCTGTACTTGCAAAAGGCTGTTGCACGACAGTGTGGGTTCGAAGAGTTTCCCCACCCGCTATACTAGCCAGACCTGGCACCAAGTGATTTTCCACCTGTTTCCTAAACTGAAAGGACACCTTCGTTGAAAGCGCTATGACGACAACGATGACATCAAAGCTGCCGTTAATCGGTTTTCAGGGTGGCGTCAGGAGACCTCTTCCTGACTGGAATTAAAAGGTTCATTATCGATATGAGAAGTCTTAACCAGCCCTCGTATATACCATCTTCTGTGTAACTATATTGTTTGAATTCACAATGCAGCGATATCACATGAACTATGTTATCCAATTGAGTTTGATGTTTTTGTTCTGTAGGATCTTCTTGGGAAGACAACCCGCCTATGTAATCACTGATCTTGAAATTCTGAAGGAGGTTTTCGTCAAGAGTTTTGACAATTTTAGAAACCGGCGGGTAAGCAATATGTTCTTTTGTTAGTTATGTTGAAGCTCCATTGAAACCAATAATGTCACTGATGTGATAACTTCATCCTAAAAAAACACTGACCATATCAGCATGCCTAAGCTGTTTATGACCATGGTAACTGCTTCAAGAACAATTCTAACTCGGAAACGAGGAAACTTCACGGGATTTTCGCCAACTGCTATTAACCCCGAAAAATGGATGCGAAATCAATTATTGTGGAGATGGTGTAATCACACAAATGAAGATAAACCTCCATTTTTGTTTATCACTTACATGTATGTCTGTTCAACTGTTTCTGTCATGTTCTGTTTTCAGAAATTTCCATTACCCTACCCGTTTAGTTTAGCACTGTTTGCACTGGAGGATGATACCTGGAAGAGAGTGAGAAATATCATGACCCCAACTTTCACTGGCGTCAAACTGAGGCGGGTGAGTACTCTCATCGTTTCTGTATTGAGGAGTGAGTGAGTTTCGTATAAGTATGAGTATTTCAAATATATAACATCATTATCATTTTTATCTTTTTTGAAAAAGGAATAAAAAACGTATAAGTAAAGAAACAACCATAGCATATACAATAAAATCTTAAGCCTTTGAACTTTATGACATTTGGTGAGGTGAGGTGGAATGGGGTTAAAGTTCGCGATTATTTCACTAATATTACAACGTGCGTGCACGCCTCCGGGGTTACTGCCTCCGGGGCTACCAGTATTTGTTGCCAGGCATTGTGTGCCATTATAATACCGTATTTCGGTATGACACGACGAGCGGATGAATCAACTGACCTTCCGTGCAGACGTTCTATCCACCGAACCAAGGAGGTGAATTGTTACACTTTGTGACAGCGAGTATGGCTCATTGATAAGCATTGCATAAATTAGTTTTCTCTTCGGTACTTAGATGTGCGGACCAATCAACGATTGTGCGAAGACTCTAACCACTAACTTCTCAAAAGACAGGGGGGTAAATCACAGGTTTAATATGAAACAGTGAGTACTTTGTTGTTGTGGTATTTGTTGTCACATCACACAAGTGTATCATACAATTCCCCATGATTCATCCTTGTGCCACCAAAAGGAGTATCTGCCCACATCCTCGATTTGTTTGCAAATATTTGAAATATTTCCCGTGTTGAATCCCTGTGTGGATACAGGACAGGACGATATCCACAACCACATATAAGATTCGAATAAAACGTGGAATAGCATACCACCCTGCATCCCTGGTTCGTTGCTCATACAGCTCATACTAATTCGACCACTCGATTTCTTGTGAAAGACAAATATTGCTGGGGACGAATTCTAACCTGGGTTCTCCACCGGTAGAGGCTCACTTGCCCATTTATGTCATTGAAGTAAAATATTTAAGTGTATAATATTCTAATGAGACATAAACAGCTGCATTAGCGTCCCGATGATGAAAAACTAAAGGTCTGTTCTGTATTCTGTATAACTTAAGAAGGACAAACTGACAACATGTTCAAATTACATTAATATTTTGATTTGATCTCGTTTTAGATACTTTGGATCTTACGCCATGGACGTGATTGCACAAACTGCCTTTGGGATTAAGATCGATTCTCAAAATGATTTCAACGACCCTTTTGTTGCTCATGCTAAGATGCTATTCGCACCAACAAAACTGGCCCAAGCACTCGCAACATTGTCAAGTGAGTTACAAAGGAACTGACTTATCAGGCCTGCTAAAGTAACTTCTCTTCATGATACAACCCCAAATCATTTTACATAAGTGCATGTATTTGTTTTGTTATTCTAAGTTTCCAACTGAAGGTCGTTTGTGTTTGTAGATGTTGTTCCAATACTTGAACCAATCTTCATTAATCTTGGCTTGGGAATATTTCCACGAAAAGTAGTTACCTTCTTTGAAAAGATCACAGCGGAACTGATTGAACAGCGGCGGAATGAGACAGCACGCCGGCAAGAGGTATGATATAAACACTTAATTTTATATGTGTGTGGTGTCTGTGCTGAGCCAAGGGTTTGATTTTGAGTGGGTATACACAATTTCCAGAGGGTTTTCTATTTTTTTACCCACCGGTTTCTTGACATTCGGGTATTTTAACTTAGACCCATCTTTTGTAACAATCCCTGCAATTCATTAAATATATACATATTAGTATATCCTTCTGTGTCTGCTTGCGGCTCACTCTCCAGGAAACTATTTTTGTTGCTAAAACCTAGCATTGCATAAAAAGGCGCTATTTTTTTAAGTATCAATCAGCGACAGATTAAGATACAACATGTACATTGACTAGGCACGATGTTCTTTTTCAGTAGGAATCTTTCAGTACGTTTGTCGCAGAAGCTTTTACGAATGTAACTGCCAGCTAAATAATTTCGCGATCAGCTGTCACACAATCATTTTGCTAACTGTTGTAATATACGCAATCCTTTTATTTAATAGTTGTTGTGTACGCATTATTTTTATTTCATCGGCGTATTCATAGTTTTTGTTGCGTATTTGATACGGTAGGATTTGCTTTGTTTGCGTATATATTTCAGTTTATTTAATGCGTATTCTCGAGCTCTGTGTCTTATGTGTGGTGTGTGTCTGAGGTGTAAATCCATATGTGTGTATGTCACAAGGGGCGACGGGTGTCTGCTTGTCTGCGTGCAGTGCGTGTCTGTCTGCGTTGTGGATAGTTGTATGTGTTTGTGGTGTGTAAGGTGTGTCAGTAGGGGAGGGATGTGTGTCTGTTTGTGTGATGTGTGCCTCTGTGTGTGGTGTTTTTCTGAGTGTGTGATGTTTATCTGTCTGTCTGCCTCTGTGTGTGGTTTTTATCTGAGTGTGTGTGTCTGTGTGTCTGTGTGTCTGTCTGTTCCTGTGTGTGGTCTGTCGTGTAAGCCTGTCTGTGTGGTCTGTGTCTGTGTATAGCGCGTGTCATTAGGGGTAATTTGAACCTGTCTGTGCGGGTGTCTGCCTGTGGGGTGGGTGCATGTGTGGTGCATGTGTTGTGGTTTGTATTGTCTGTCATTTAGGGGTATTTGGAGGTATGTGTCTGTCTGCATGTGTGGTGTGTCTATTTGTGTCTATATGTATCTGTCTGTCGGTGTCAGTAGGGAGTGTAGTGTGTGGTGTATGGTGTGTGTACAGTAAGGCCTGAGGTGTACGGATGCGTGGCTGGCTGGCCATTAGAGTACTCATCATTATAAGAATTGATGTAGCTTCTAAAAGGGTTATTGCATATGGGTGCATATTATTTCAGCATAGAGTGTGTACATATTAATGCCAATATAATACTAATACCAATGTATTTTCTAATTCGTATAACAGATACTAAGTCAGGGTTTTTTAAAATATGATATTTGTAGCCGAGACCAGACTTCCTACAACTCATGATGGACGCTTCGACAGAGGAGGGGCCTGGAGAAAACGCCAATGGTGAAACAGTCAAACATTCAGCCAGGCGTAAGTAGGCAACTTAGGGCAAAATTGACCCCGTGTGTGTCATTGTATCCCAACAGTGAGGGCTATCACATTCATATATTCGGGGGCACGGGTGGCCCAGTCGTCTAAGGCGCCGCGATTCGCTGTGCAGAATTGCGTCCCTTGGGCACGCCAGAAACCTATGATTGTGGGTTCGAATCCCGGTTCGCCCCGATCATGTTTCTAGGTTTGTCAGCACCATACCCGTGCTCGTGGGTTTAACCGAAGTGGTAAACGTCTGAGACCTGCATCACTTCGGGCTTTCCTCCCACATTAAGCTGACACGCCGCGATGTAACTGGAATATTGTTAAAAGCGGCGTTAAACCCAACTCACTCACTCACTCACTCATTCATATATTCAATTACTGTTTTGCCTGGTCGAGACATCTGTCAAGTCAGGAACACATGCATTGTGCGTCAGGTCATTACCCCAAGTTATTTGTTCTCACTATATTTGACTTCAGGTTACAGGGTATATATTATTGAAGCAAAACGTGGTGCATAAACAACGATAACTTATGTTGGGGAATTTCGAAATTCGATGCGGGCAGTGACATGAACACTTGTTTGCTCACATAAGATAAATAACGCTCCCACGTAACGTGAAAACTGCTAACTGGGGTATAAGAACACACCGAGTATTCCTCCTCCTTTGGCTTTCTACATAGCGAGAATAACAAAAGGAGAGAACATGGTTAATGTATACACCATATAAGCATAACTAAATTATTGACATGTCTATAGATATACATTTAACAATGTTGTTATTTGGTAAAGAAACGCTAAAAATGTAAAATTATGTGAGTGTCCCAAAGGATATGTATAAAACCTTCATATATATGATACACTAAATCAAACTACATACTCTCTGTACACGGCAATACAATGTTGAAATGAAAGACATGTGTTTTCACTTCAGATCTATCGGAGGAAGAGATAGTTGCTCAGTGCATACTGTTCTTTATCGCTGGTTACGACACTACCGGGTCAACCCTTTCCTACACGGCCTACAACCTGGCCAAGAACCCGGATGTACAGGAGAAGGCGTACAATGAAATCAAAGAAATATTGGGAAATGTTAGTAACTATTTAATTATTAAAGATGCCTTAGAAATGGTAAGACCTTCTCGGACTGTTTTCAGTTTCGTTCTTAAAGTTATGGCTTGTGGTCTGTGGGAAGCATTGTCCCTATGTAATTAGAGGAATCATTAACTGTTTGACTGAGGTACATCATAGAATAAACGTACACATAATTATAACTAGTTACATCTTATTGTGGTTCTAACTTGTAAGAGTTGATTCAGAGTCCTTACACACTTCTACAATGTACACTACTACTCTCCTCTGCAACAAGCGACTCATGCGATATAAGCACTTTTTTCCTCAACGACGCATTAACATTCTTGATGTTTTTGTCTCCAGGAGGAACCGAACTACGACAACATTGGGAAACTGAAGTATATGGACAACGTCATCACTGAGACGCTTCGACTCTACCCACCGGGTTTTGTGTAAGTTAACAGGTTTGACTATTGGGATATCAAGGCAAAATACCATAGCCAGTATTATACTTCACGTGTGTGGCATAATGCGACTAACATGTAGAGCAACTAGTTGGAATAGGGGATTTTGCGGTAGAATAAGTCCCCGGCAACCTACAATGGTCGTAAGAGGTGACCAAATAGATCAGGAGCTCAGGTTTGGTGACTTGGTGCAGTGCGTGTCATCGTACCACTACTGCGTGGTTCATTGCACACAATATCACAATATTGATTGTCAAGACATGATTATTTACAGCCCGTTGTCATATAGCTGGAATATTAATTAGTTTGGCGATAAACAACAAAAATCAAAGATACAATGTTTGAGCTGGATGGCATTACAAATGAATTATTATTGAATGTAAAGCACAATTGACATATACTTGAATACGCCCGAGCTGTAGATACACCCAAGACCAGTAGTTAGATTCAGTATGCCTATTTCTAAGGCCGGGGAAAAGAAGCTCTCCCTTTTCGCGAACACCTGGTGTCATCACTGACTTTCACTGCTGTGTGTCTTTTATGTGTAATGGAAACAGTTTAGTCGTGTAAACGAGACTGGTTACTCTCTGCCCTTGACGTATATTTCCAGAAAAATAATATTGGGTGAGTGTTACCTCTCAATGATACCAGGCTCTCGTCTTCTAATTTTACACCAATATAGTTGAATGGTTGTCCTTTGTCTGTGGTGCTGTCATTGTTTGGCGAAAAAGAGTTAAAAAGTCAAATATGCACGGATGATGTGTTATAGCTACCAACTGTAATACTATAAACCAAATCGTTAACCGATTGCATGATAACACAACATATTAAACTTTATTCCAGAACAACAGTTGAAGAACAGTTTACAATATCACGTCATACTTTCCCAAACTATCACTCTATTGCAGGCTCAACCGAGTTTCTTCTGAGACAATTCAAATCAAGGGCTTAACTCTCTCTAAGGGTCAATCTATCTTTATTCCCGTGATGGCAATACACAGAGACCCTCAGCTCTACGAGGATCCTGATTCCTTCAGGCCAGAAAGGTATGGGGCTGACCTCTTGATATTCAACTTGTTGGTTATTTACACACAAAAAATGTTTCTGAAAATACGGGTAGAAAATACCACCCAATTCCAGAATATTAGATCGGTGTTCAATCAACTTACCATCTATTTTGGGATAAAAGGTGGACCAGTCGTCTAATCGCGGTAGTTCGCATTAAGGGGCTGGTCGCTATATCAGTGCAATAATATTGTACGCGACGTTAAACCCAATTTAACCTCACCTCCTACATCAAGCTGACACGTCCTGATATAACTGGAATACTGTTCAAAGCGGCCTGAATCTCACTCACACACTACATTCCGTTTGATGTGACAGTAGCACACACAGACATCAGCACATTAACGTTCATGTGTTCGAAACGTTGACTTGTACATAACAGATTGTAATATGATATTTGAGTGATGTCAAGAAATTGTCTTTCAGGCATGAAGAACAAGCCAAAACTATTTCCTTCCAAGCATTCGGATCTGGCCCAAGGATCTGTATTGGGATGCGGCTAGCTCTGGTTGAGGTTAAAGTAGCCTTGGCTAACGTTCTGAGGAGTGTGAAGTTTGAACGCTTACCCGACACACCGGTAGGATTCTTTTATAAACATTTGTCACCACCATGCCCATCATCCTCTTCCAATAAGGGGTCCACTTCTTGAGAGGTGGTTCTGGATATTCAGAAACAAATGACTAGTTCCTCCTTTCCAAGATATACATGTTTGGCGTGAAGGGGTACAGCAAAAATATTTACAATCACCTAACCGGTGCAGAAAACAAAATTCACATCACACAAATGAAACAGAAATGAAACACATCACTTCACGTGGTCTGGGTTATCATAGTTCTGGAATAACATACAGCGTCAGGGTTATCATACAACATCCATGTTATCGACAACTTCCATTCGACATAACATTTAACATGGGCAAGTTCGCCATACAGACAACACCTTCGAGAGAATGCAATTCTATTTTCGTTTTTGACAACATCTATTTGAAATTTTGGTTATGCTGTGTCAAATGTATAATGAGAAAGGCAAAACAAAATACCAGCACTGATCATTGTTGGTTGAGAACAGTCACCTGTATGATGGAATAAGGATAGCTTGTTTCTGAAGGTAGTTCACCCTTCCTGCTCCTGATTAGGTAGCAGCGCACACTCCCATTCATTTCACAATGTCGTGGTTTGTTCACAGGATGTTTTGACGTTTGCTCGGAATCCAAACATTCTTCAAACCAAAGAGGACATCATGTTGAAAGTGTCTCCAAGATGTTGAAGGCTGCGGAGAAGTACCAACAATTCACAGAGTGTGTCGAAATATACTTACACGATATTTACATATTAATACCATAAAAAACAATCACTAACTTTTGTTTTACGCCTTCTAATCATATATCATTGGGAAGTATCATGTGAATTCCTCAACATGATGTTTAAAATTTTGTTGGAAATGAAAAGCAATGCTATTTTATCATGTCAGTAATCTGTAGGAAGCAGTTTCTTGGTATTTTCAATGTATATATGAGAGAGTGAGTTGGGTTTAACGCCGCTTTTAACAGAATTACAGTTATATTGTAGCGTGTCAGCTAAATGAGGGAGGAAAGCCCAAAGTGTTGCAGGTCTCAGACGATAACCACTTCGGGGAAACCCACGAGTATGGATATGGTGCTGACAAACCTAGAAACATAATCGGGGCGAACCGGGAATCGAATCCAAAATAATAGGTTTCTGGCGTGCCGAAGGAAAGCAACTCTGCACAGCGAATTGCGGCGGCTTAGACGACTGGGCCACCCTGACCCCTATATACATGTGCATATTATGCGTTTGGTTTAACCCAGCTGTGAAAAGTATTTCAATAATATTACCGCGTTTCAACATGTTATGGGAGAAAATCTCGAAGTGTTGCAGGCGTCAAGCGTTCGCCACGTGAAACCCACAAGCACAGGTATGATCCTGACAAAACAGAGAAACGTCGTCAAGGCGAAGCTGGGATTGAAGCCCACCAGCATGGATATTTGGCACCCTAGGGCGCGCAATATTGCGCAGTGAATTGAGGTACCTAAGGCGACTTGGCAACTCGTGACCCAAAATGAATCATCGACAGCTTCATGTGTACACATGCCAGATCCTTTTCTGGTTCCAAGAATATTTTGATGCCCCGGTATAATTTGTGAATAGAGTGACATTTGTCCAAAACTGTAAAGAATATATTACGTTTTTCACCAATAAAGTATCAATATAGTTCTCAATATTCGTTTTAGTCACAGGAAATTGTTTCAAATCAGTCTACTTTTCTTTGTTAATTTGCTTTAAGTTCTTTTTAAATACTATATATTTGATAAATTTGTATATATCTGTATTAAAATACGCTGAATAAACTTAACAATGCATAAGTTTTGTGTTCATTATCCACACAAATGATATATAAATAAAATAACATAGTTGCAAGCTAGCAACCAATGACAGAGACTGGATAGTTCAAGTGTTGATAGTGTTCTAGACAATGGTGATTCACTTAAAATGGAATGAAAATTACGAATGCACGTTTGACAGCAAAAAAGTCAATTAATTGTTATTTTTGTTGGGAACATGTCACAATTGTTTGGTAATATGATTGTTTTGCATCAAATAGGGAGGGTGAACTGCACCCCTGAACCAATGACTGTCATCATCATTTGCATATTGCTTGACAGACAGTTCTTCCTTCAAGGTACACGTCGATATATGGCTGAAATATACCCATGCGACGTTAAAGTTTAACTCAGTCCTTCCAGCTTGGGAAGAGGTGGAAATCTGACGGTGCCAACTCTGGTGAATAAGGAGGACGTTCAATCAGTTCAAAGCCACAGACATGCATTGCAGCTCTGGTGACAACAGACTTGTGAACATGTGCATTGTCCTGGTGGAACAACACACCTTCAGTGATGTTTCCTACTTTCAACTTTGGTCACCTTGATACTGATGGAACAGATTTTTCCATCTTCGGAGGAGTGGTCAGAATGCCTTGATTGTAGTGTTGTCTCTGGCTGATAGTAGTGAGCCAAAGAACTCATACATGGTTAGAAATCGCATAACAAAATCGACTGAACCGATAATATATTCTCACGAGAGATAATGAACCCGGATCGGAGTAAGAAGCCTTACAACCGAGCGTGTTGAAATCTGTTTAAAGTTCATTTTTCAGAATTTTCTGAACTCGATCTACCATGATCATGTCATGTATTTTATCAACATTTTCCTCTGTGGTGATAGTTGAAGGGCTTCCTGATGTTGGTTCATCTTCGAGGCTCTCTCTTCACTCTTTAACTCCGCTGACCACCTCTTAAGAGTGTTAAAGAAAGGAGCATCGTCCCGTACAGGTGAGGCTTTACCCGCATGGAGGGCTTTTAGAGTTAGCGCTTTCTGTTGGGGATAACTGATGATAGCGTGTCCAGAGAATGCCCAGTCAATTTGATCCTGCATCCTTCGTGTTTGTTGCCTAGTGAGTGGACCAATTTTATTCTTCAGACTACGGAAGAAACAGCATTGGTGCCCCCCCCCCCCCCCCCCCCCCCCCCCCCAAATTACATTGTTTTTTTCAATTTATTTTATTGCAGACTACAATTCAAATTTTTTTAAAATACAGCTTTTGGTTTCAGCCATAATCGTTATCTTCAGCCCGACGCAAAAATCTGCACGTCATGGTGCACTTCGGGTAAACAATGAGTATACACGCACGATCACAACCTAGTTCCAGATCCTTTTGCATGACCCCCGTCATAAAGCAGTGAGCCTCACTTACCAGAGATTTATCTTGCATTTCAACACAATCCATACGACACACATTACAATTTTAAGTTAAAGAAATGTGCAGAATTAAATGACAAATAGGCTGCAGATGCTTTTAAGAAATAAACACTCCGGGCGGGGAATTTTTACTTCACCCTTGTGTTTGTCAACCAAAGCCTTCCAGGCGTGTTGATCCTTTATTTAATACATGGAAACGTTTAGGGGATACTATACTTCCTTCGTAGTTAGGCTCATAACATTTCAGCCACCCCTCTTATTTCAAAATAGTAGACGACAAATCATCATGCTGCACAAGGAGTTAAAAAATTAGATCAAGGTTGTAACTGCGTAAACAACCTAGTTTCAGACCTTCGCATGGCCCTGTGATTAAGCAGGTTAACCTTTTGGAGCGAACACTAGATAGACAGTGGGCTTCTGTACGTTATGCACTAGAATGGATGTGTTGTGGTAGCTTGACGATTTAAATCAACAACTCACAGGATTTTACACAGGTACATTCGGGCTTGTGGACGTCGTTATTTGAGTCTGTTTCTGGACCTGTGGGCGGTGTGTATGGAAATTATGGTGACAGAGAGTGGCCATCGCCACATCGCCCCGAGATATCCACAAGATATTGCGACAAATTAAAGCAATTCACCTCTTATGTTTTATTCATGTATGGGAGGACATAGGCCCATGTACATTTCAGTTGTATATAGTAACACACAGTTGAGGCAATTTACATTAAAAACAATACTTAGGGTACGATATTTGGTCTCTGTACGTAGTAATAGAGCTTCCTCCTCATACTTAGCTACATTTCTGAGTGTATATTTAAGAGCTTTTGCTAAAGGTATTAATACATGGATTGTTATAAAATCTTAAAGGAATATACTTTTGTCTCAATGATGTGTAAAACGAGCAGACAAACACAAAATAAACTTCGTCCTCAATAGAACCATTTTTACATAGCCGACACAAGCGTTGTGAATAAACAATATCTTCTCTTCTCCCCAGATTACTCGGTGTAGACAATTCACTTATTCTCGACAGGCACAGCATATATCTGCGATATGTATTTCTGAAAGCTGCAACATAATTTCCATATCCAATGATATCTAAACGTGTGAATAATACCTTAAGTTACAAGTCTCATAAATTTTCAGACCCGTGAAGATTCCTGGGTAGAATAGGTCTTCAGCAACCCATGCTTGCCGTAAAAGGCGACTATGCTTGTCGTAAAAGGCGACTAACGGGATCGCGTGGTCAGGCTCGCTGACTTGGTTGATGCATGTCATCGATCCCAATTGCGCGGATCGATGCTCATGATGTCAATCACTGGATTCTCTCGTCAAGACTCGATTATTTACAGACCGCCGTCATATAGCTGGAATGTTGCTGAGTGCGGCGTTAAACAACAAACAAACACACACATGATAACCCACATGCAAACCCTATCGTCCACATTCAGCCAATATTGCTGTGTTTGATACATATTTACCTACTCCAAAACAAATTTACAAAAACTAATATTTAAAGTTTGAATTGCTTTGCGTATAATTCTTTCTTAAAAGGTCACAAGACTCAGCACAAATATGAAATATATCAACTAAAGTTTCCACAGCAGATTCGAGATTAAGTGGAACCTGGTTTCTGTCACTGTCTAATACAGAATGTGATAACATATCAGCTGCAGACTGACGAAACGTTTCAATAACAGAGTCCTTCCAAACATCTTGGTATATCTGAGGATGTATTATTATCCTCGTATTCCGTCCCGTTATCCTTTGTACCATGGTCAGTATATTCCTGCAATGACACAACAATTGTTTGTTTTAAAAATGTTTTATTGTTATCGAACTTAGGTGGCCCTTTCCCTACGAGTTTATATACAAGTAAAATGTGTTCATTTAGGCATTTTATGCATGTTTATGTTCTTTTTGCAAACATTATGTTAAAAAAACACGTTCATGTTTTTCATGTAAACATATTTCTCTTCGTTACTTTTGAAATGTAATACAAGACATTTCAGCCTGCATATATAATTACACCTACGAGACATTATATGATAAATGGGGCAGTTCACTCATACACTGTATTCCTACGCACTTTCAAAAGTTACTTCACTGACTAAAAATACATCTGAAACATCGAGTATTTTCAGAATTACATTAAAATGCTAATGATATTGTTACTCTCGTGTGTTTAAATATTATATTAGGAATACAAACAATATTTTAATTGCGAAATGCAGCAACGACGAAATGCATATGACGGAAGTCTTTAGAAAATAATACCACATGATAAACGGATCATTGCAGAAGTATGTTCAGTATTACAAATAGAAAAATAGGCTGGTTATCAGTCACCATTGTATGTTGGCACCTGTTAAACTGTGAGGACATGCCAGGGCTAACTGAAGCACAACATAACAACTTTGTCTGTCGATTGGAAGCAAGAAAATTGCAGTTAGTCGTAGCTTGGGTATAGGCATGTGTCGCAGAGCATCATTACTTGCCTTTGGTATCCGTATCAAAATCGTGGTACGTCACGTGATCGGCCTCCGTCAAGCTGAAGCAGTGTTACCAACGTCTGCCGAGGACTGTTTTGTACTGCTACGTACGCAACTTGCAATTCAATATTTGAATCCCGTTTATATTATCACGGGAAAATGTCCAGGGTACACGATACTTTAAATATTATGTTTTAACTAATATACAGTAGACATCCCAAACAAAGGCGCAATTACTGTACATTAATATATATATGAAATTTAATTCAGTTGATAAATGTACACCTGTAATCTATTTCAGTACATTAATGTACACCTACAATTTATTTCAGTACATAAATGCGCACCTGCAATCTACGCCATGTATTTGCAGTCTCAATAAAATTAGATCGTTCTCCAATACCATACCTCTCTGTTAGGTCGACCCTGACCGATTTTGACCACACAGTTGAAGATTCGGCTTCATTGCTTGTGATTATGGAAACGGTGATGTCGCTGTCATTGACCACCTAAATTTAGAAATTTGGATCTTATGAAACGAAAACTCACACAGAACATACACATAGCATTTTACAACCTTTTGGATACAGACGCCTTGACTTCAGAATGATTGGGTGTATCAAATGTACAGGACAATATATGGCCTCTATCATATTCCCTTAACTGCCGATATATGTTCGCTTTTGATATACAGAAATCGGATATATATGGGATGAAAGTTCCCATGACGTGGCCTATGGAAGGTTTGTCAGATCATCACGCAAAGAGGTATCGTATCGGAGAAAACATCCAACATTAACGAGATTGTTATATATGTTAAAGCGCCATGTCTCAATTGGTAGGGGCGGTCGGGTAGCCTAGTGGTTAAAGCGTTCGCTCGCCACGCCGAAGACCCGGGTTCGATTCCCGACATGGGTACAATGTGTGAAGCCCACTCACTCACTCACTCACTCACTGAGTTGGTAACATTTCTGAAGTGGGTAAATCTGGTCATTGAACGGCTGGATGGCCATATTCCCATGTTTAATTCCACAAACGCCAGCTGTTGACGAAGGGGTGGGCTGATGGAGTTGGATGTTGTTGAGACCGCTTTGAACAGTATTTCAGTTATGG